TTTTTAACTCTTTGTGCACCAATACTGTGTCAACCACAAAAACTGTCATCAAACAACATTGAGCTAAGCATGAACAAAAATCAGCACCTATCCCCTGGATCTGAACTAAATTAAGTTTCTTGTAAATTTTAATCTAAGGGTGTCGAAAAGAAAAAATGCAAAGATTGTCACACTAACTGTAAAACCAGGATTTATACATGGATCAGAGATGAAAATCAGGATTAGTTAGCTCATTTTTCAAGGCTGAAATATTGATCTTCCTACAAAAGACAAACTAAGAAAAGGAATCAACTTTTTCTACTTCATTCCATGTTTTTCTCAGTGTAGGGAAAAAAAAAAAAAAAAACAAAATTTATGTGTGTACCTGGAGCTACTACCCTTGAACTGGTGAACATGAGCATCAACCCTTTTGAAGTCTACACTTGGCTGTTCTCTGTGCAAAGAAAAAAAAAGTGGGGAACTTCAAGAACACAGAACAAACTTTCATGCACCCCTCAAAGTATCCAAAAGCAAAACATGAGCACCACACAATCCAAGAGAGAAAAAGACAGTGAAAAGGAAAGAAGGAAAAGAAGAAAAGGAAAGATCTCGGATCCTCACAGAGCTCTGGTGAGATCATTGAGAAGCTTCTCAGAATCTTCAAAGAATAGAGACACCACTTCAACAACAAAATCTGGGTTGCTCTCATCTTGCAGCTGCTGAAGCTGCAAAAACTGACCATCCAGAAACCCCTTCTCACACCCAAAGCAACAACCAGAAAACAAAATCAGGAACAAAACAAACAGAACAAAAAAGCTAAACCAGCCCAGCAGTAGATGAAGATTAGAGACACCAAAAACACCAAAAACAAAACAAACCCATCAGTGATTCCACCATTTTCTTGTTCCTTACCTCCAGAAACAAGGACTTTGTGTAATCAACCCACTGTCTCTGCATCTGCCCCACCTCCATGTTTTTGCTTTTGTTCCTCTCTACACAGACAGAGTAAGAGTCACCGTGTTTAAGGAGGAGCTGTGAGCCAGCAAATGAAAGAAAAGCTGGTGCCTTGAATTGCAGATCTTGAGGAATTATTGCACAATCAAATATTATAGTATAAATGCTTGGGAAACTAGAAAAGGGTTTGATGAATTCAATGCGTAAAACAAAATCCAAAAGCTTCTTGCTTTTGGGTATGTCTACTGTCTAGTACAAGTAGACTCTGACCCCCCTTTCTATCTCTCTCTGGATATGTGCTCTGGTTTTGGTATTTTCTCACAGAATCACAACCCCACCAGTTGGGTGCCCTTCCTCTACATCATATATTATGAGCATTTAACCTCTCTCTCTCTCTCTCTCTCTCTCTCTGCCTTTGTTTTTCTTTGTAATTTTTTATTGCCTTTTCAAGTATTTGGCTCTCTCTTTTCTTTTTCTCCCTTCAATTTTTCACTTTTATCACTGAGCTGAAAACTACTGGTTCAGATTGAAAGTTGTGTACATGGGTTTGACGTAGGACTGACTTCACCTGTTTCTTCTTTATGAAAATTTGGAGAATGTGCAATTCTGCATGTTGTTTTTTCCTCCTCATAAATCGGAATTATAAAATGTTACTGCTACTAAAAATGTTTACTCAAGTCATTCCGCGCATATTTTAACAGTTGTTTCAAAGTTTTTGCCTTTTTATTACTTGTCCACTTTCTAGGCTTTACTCCATCTCATATTATTCCTTAAAACCTTCGACATTTCTGCATAGATTTAAACTAGTTAATGACGTTATACAAAGTTTGCCACTTACATTTTATTGATAACCCTCACTTTTATGTTTACTTCTAAACTCGGGATATTGTTACAGGACGTGAATGTCAATCAATATTAAAACCTATCAATTGATTGACACTCAAGTTTTGCAGCTTTCATCCTGCATTTGAAGTTATTGCTTGGATTAGGGGCCCAATCTCAAACCTCTAATGAGATACGCATCCTGTGTAAATTGTGGGTATGATTTCACTTAACTAAGGCTCACGATTATTTTTCTTTATATTTTCCAGAACCCAAAACAGAAGGAAAATGTTATCTTTTATACATAGTAAGTATTTTATGTTTCTAAATTTTTAAGGCAAGGCCGGATATTAGAGGGAACATCACCTGTCATTACAAGCTGTTAGTGCTAGTTTGGATTGGCACTAAACTAAAGCCAAGTTGTTTAGAGATTTTTCCTCGTTTGCTTCCCCAACTAGATTAAAAATCATTAGAACTAGACTAATCCAGGCCAACCCATGTGGAAATTATGGTAATTTGTTCATGCTCTACCATGTCAATGCATATTATGTACCATCCAATCCAATCTCCATTCATTCATGTACCATTTGAATTTTCTTATTTTATTTTTGGTTTTGATATACGCAATATTGAGGGAGGGAGAAATTAAACTTAAGATCTCGAGTGTAGAGATATATGCTCTTAACTGCTTGAGATACAAGCCCTTTTAGTACTATTTAATTTGATGAATCAATTTTCAATGTTTGATTTTTATGTTTGTAAATTCTTCTTCCAATAAGTTATTACTAAAACATAGACGGAATCTTGATATGTCACACCGAAATCTTACAGCTGTTTGGATTGTCAGTTCTGTTTTGTCAACCAAGAACAAAAATGGGCCAGTTGTGTTGGGGGCAAGAAACTAAAATCTCTCACCTTAAACTAAAAATCTTTTTTCAATTTAGGAATAATTCTCTCTGGGCTTTGGCAGCTTTGGAAATGTTAAATGTTGAGAGAGAGAGGGAGACAGAGAGAGAGACAGCCCTCGTCAATTATTTTATTTTGTTTGTTTTATGAAGATGACAAAATGAGGTGTCTGGTTACAGTCTTATTCTTAGTTTATTTTATTTCGTATATAATTGGTAATGATAATGAAAATTGTACTGTTTCGGTGGAAATATATTCTTATATTCGTATGGATAAAAGGAATATATTCTATTAGTTGTATAATGTTTCAAGATGGAGCTATTTGTGCTCCATCCATTTATTTTCACACTCCGTTCATAAGCACGGACTGCATTTACCCGCTACAGGTGAATCAATCATGTCAGTTGCCCACGCAGATAAGCGATTTCGGACCTTTGTACATGCATCTCATTAACAGTAAGAAGTCTCTCATGCATGCGTAGGCGACTCACCTTAGCAAAATTAAAGGGCCATCTAAACGGTAAGAAGCATCTCGATGAAAGATAAGGAATCATTTACATCACCTTCATTCTACAAGCAGCAATTAAGCACCTTTTTGTTTATAAATCTTATTTAACTGGCGGCTAGAAAGTGTTTCATGCTAATTTCTAGAATATTTGACCACTTGGGGAGGGAGACTGGGATCTTGAAAACAACATTAAGCTGTGCCTTGCATGCCTCTATTTATGAATTACCAAACATGAGGATTGAGGATTGAGGATTGAGAAAAAGAAGAGCCCCAATGTATAGGCATGCAGATGTTGCCAAAGTTCTAGTAGGATATAATGCTTAAGGAGTTACGACCACCACCACTCCTCCTACTTGGGGGGCCTCCCTTTCTTCAGATATTGATGGGAATCTCAGCGTGGTCCTTCTAAGTTGCGCAAGTAATGCCAAAGAAGACTATTTCACACCAAATCAAACAGAAGAATACAAAGTCCGTACGTGAATATTTGTGGCTAACAAAAATCAACCAACAAAGCCATAAATGACAGATATCCAGTGCTCACAGCACTAAAATCAGGGCCGGTCGGCCCGCGTGCTGAAAACTGAATGCACACAAATTTGGGACCCTATAACGTAGGGTAACCTTTAGCAATGGTACCCAATGATGAAAATATGGCAATACATATATTATTGGGCCTTCAATTTACGGATATTTCGGGCGATATATTGATGTCATTTTAGGTATCGCATAAAATCGACAAAAAATACAGATATTGGCTTTAAAACACAGAATTTTGAAGTGAAACTTTCATATATATTAAACACATTATCAATAAATGTATTGAATAAATAAAATTCAAAATATACTAAGTATAAGATATGCATATGATGAAATGTATGTGTATATAATGCGCGATGAAAATCCCAAAAATAAATACAATTAGACTTAACACAACAAAGACAACATTATTCAAACATAACCCAACCCAACATTATTACAAGAGCGATGAGAGAGAGAAGATTTGGTGAAAAATAAAATCGAACACACAAGAAAACCAAGCAACCAAAGAGAGGAGAGGAAGAGCCAAAGATAGCCAAAATGACTAAGAAGAGAAGAAAGGAGAAGCTACTAAGTATTAGAACTTAGTTTTTGACATTGATTCAGTGGATGAGATCTATGATTACTTTCAAAATTGAAGACAAATTTCTGGGTCATTTGTCTGGTATCGGAAAATATCGAGAAATATCGGTAAATATCGAGGATATTGGGGGTTATCGGGGCTTACCCCCTGTATCTATATCGACACATAAAAATAGGAATATATTGGGATATTGGCCGATATTTTCATCCTTGATGGCACCCACTTGCCCTTGCTAAATAAAGATCGACCTTCACTAAAATGGAATGGATGCATATCTATCTAACCCCTTTCCCCCCTTCCCTTCCCCTTAAAAATCTAATCTAATGCACTATGAGTGAGAAAGCTACCATTCTTTCTTTTTTTTGGTTTCCCAAGGTATCCCCAAGCATGGCCTAGGCCTAATCCTCCAGTGTACTGTTGGGCGCATATGCGGGGATCTCTCCCAAGAAAGTTTTCTGCATCCACAAGGGCTCAAAAGCTACCATTCTTTCATCTCACCATAAAACATGAAATAATTGTGAACTTACTTCTTTTTATCTCCTGACACGTGCAAGAATGCGCATAAGTGAGCGTGCGCACGTGCAACACCTCTCTACTCTCAAAGTTCATGGATGTAGAGTGTGACATGGATAATATTTCAACCTCCCCTCTTACTGGGGAAGTGAAAGGTCGAACAGTGTAACATCATAAGCATAATAAATCATAATGCTCTACGCAACTGCCAGATCAGTCCATCTATATGTTAAAAGAATGGTCTTCAAGTCATTATTTTGGGTCTCAAGTACATACATCGACACAACACATTTCTTTTGGTGGGTTTCTATTGCCGCATTTCTCTTCGAAAAGCATGGGTACAGTTTAAAAAAAAAGTACAATTAGAGCAAAGACTTACAACCCAAAATGCCAAAGTTCTATTCAGCTATATACGTCTGTAAAACGCTTGTAATGAAAAATAGGATTACAATCCACCAAAAAATTAATGAATAACCACAACAGAACAGGAAGCCTCCAACGGATGGTCCACGTGGAAATCAGGAAGTGAATTCTAACATACCTTACAACTCCTCCTACAGTAGCCAGGGAGATCAGGAGATCCAACCATATACTCTGAGTTCTTGGTGCATTCTCCAAGGGCAGCCCATCTGTCACAACTTTCATTCAGATCTGCACAGTTCCCACCGGCATCCAAGTTCTTGTCAAATGAGTCGACATGAATCCACTTTGTTGCTGACCATTTCTCTCCTTCAATCACTGGGCACCCAGCATGGAGACTTTTTGGGTCTGGAACAGCGTGTGGGGTGAGACTGAAGAATAGAAGGGCATCTCCTCTTCGTGGTTTCACTATGTAATTCCGAGGAAGATAGAAAACAACAGAATGCATCAACTTTGCTACAACAATTTATATATATCAATGAATACCGTAAAAAGTTATCTAGAACTGACCTGCAATTCCTTTCTTTGCACACTCAGAGAGACTGTGATCTACTTCTGCAGCCTTACGGCGTGAAGGTACCTGCAGCCAGATTCGTTTACAGAAATAATTATAACAAGATTAAATAAAGCACATTAGCAAGCTGGTAAAAGTTTTTTTATACTCTACTAACCAACACCCTCCAACCGGTTAATACAACCAGTCATTTCTTTATCTTCTTTTTTTTTTTTTTTTTTCTGTGGATTGGAGTCCTAGCTTTTCCATGATTTCTATTTCAGATGATTGTTGAAATAACTATATGCAATAACAAGGTTTATGCTAGCCCAAATGTGATCTAATCTCTAGAGCTAATCAATGCATATTAACGAGCATGTCAGCCATGCTACTTTACCAATCCAACTGCGGCCAGGGGGAGTCTAAGATAAAAATCTTACAGAACAGTATATTGCATTCTTTTCTGTATGTGAACTAAGATTGGATTCTAAGACTACTTAATAAAATGCAAGAGGTGAATACTTTAACCAACCTCTGCTTCAGGGAACACTGTTTCACCACCTTTGGTCACATCAGTAAGGTACATCAGTACAGTTGCTATGCGATGTCCACCCCTGGCAATATTGACTTTGTCGGCAAAGTAATCATAGTGTGGTTCATATTTCTGCCCAGGCTCATATCTCAATACTTGTATGTCTTCTCCATTTTCTGAAAATCAAGAAACACATAACACCTGTAAGCTTATTCCAGCAAAATGAAGAAGTCATTTGTAACTTTTCATCATATCATTCTTTGTCAATCCAATATTGCCGATGCTCAGTTCATGATGTCAGAATAGACAACCAACATGGCTCCCAAGCGTTCAAGTTAGCATATATTTGTCCCATGTTTCACTTCATTAGGTAGTAATAGCCATGTTGCCATCTATATCAAAATTCCTGCTCATGGTTTCTCAACTATCTTCACTGTTTATATTCAATTTTGATTTCAATCTCATTCAAGAGAACATATGTAAAGAAGGAAGAGAAACACATCTTACTCTAGAATCTAGACACATTTCCCAACGTATATAAGGCGCTGACACGGAAAAAGCAGTATATGAATGTGAAGCAATTGTGAGTTAGACACTTCAACCATTCAGTCATGGATGCCTAGTTGGGGAGACTTATACATGGTGAATAACAGAATTCCAATTGAAACTAAAGCTTTAGGATAAATCAAAGCAAGGCATGAGGACCTCAATAAAAGGACATAAAAGAGAAATCCTGGATTTTTCAATTGAGAGAGATATGAAAATGGATGACAGTGAGATTAACTGAATTGTTCAAGGTGATAAAAAAGGATAACTCAAATAGCATTCTTCTCTAAAGGGTTTACCTTTTGGAAGAAATGTCCATGTTGCAATCTTGTCCTCAATACCAGCAACAATAGGATCCTACAAAAACAATTTAATTTGTAAAACGCATTACATACATTCATACATATGTTTGCGTGTCACCTTAACCCTGTTAATTGCGGTGACTTGCAATCGGATTCATGATCCATGAACAATTGAACATCCACATGTGTGCGCATTTAATGTATTTTTGGGCTAAAACAGAAAATTGAACGCAAAGCCTAACTAAAACTAGTATCTAGTTAAAAGAAGAACACATATAATGGCGAATAAAAATGGTGACAAAATGGAAAAGGGAAGAGCAAAGAAGCAAACCTTGGCCTTGGGGATGAACATGCCGGAGCTGGTCCGCACCTCGCTGAGCTTGCTCTGACCGGACAAGTTATCGGCCACGGCCGATCTCTTCAGCTCCGATTTCGCCTAATCGCAAAACAACAACACGAAGACAAAACGTCAAGAAAGCACAATTGACGAATTCAACAGATTGAAATTTTGAAATTTGTAAATGCAAACTCACAATGGAGATCAAGTGATCGCACTCAGCGTCCGTGAGCAAACCTTCGTACACGAAAGCTCTGCAATTTATCATTAAATCGCATCAACGCAATCACAAAAAAGAAAAAAAGAAGTCAACTTTTATTTTTTCCAGAGAGAGAAAGAGACCTAGGGTTCCATGAGATCTGTCTGACTTTAGAAGGATTGACTGTGAAGGTGTGTGGTGAAGCAGCGTAGGAGCTGGAGGAGATTGAGAGCAGGAAGAAGAAGAAGAAGAACAGCTGAAGCCAAACCCTAGTCATCAGTACTCAGTCAGATTCCCAATCTCTCAGAGAGAGAAAGAGTCAGTCGATTGAATTTTGTTGGTAATGGAATGATCCTCCTAATCCTAATCTCACTGCTGCATATAACTGCCTGTGGCGCCATGTGAATTTATACTGTTTTTTTCTTAACTTCACTGTTAATATAACATACGTCTTGTACTTTTTTGTTTTGTTTTTGTTTTTGTTTTTTAAGACAGCAATTAAAAGGTTTTATTTTCCTTTTTTTTTTTGTCATGGTAGTTGAAGTTAGTATACAACCGCAATACAAGGGTAGAGCACTTTCGGGCAAATAAAAACGTTTAAGATAGCGTTTGGTAGAGAAATTTTGACATAAAAGTGCTTTCAGAAAAAGCAATTGGAAGTGCTTCATGAAAAAGTAGTTGGATTTTTAATGGAACTTTAGGCATTCTTCTGATCAAAATGCTAAGTCCCTATGAGCATAAATACTTTTTAAATAAGCAATCCCAAACAGACTCTAAGCGTATTTTTGATAGTTAATTAATGTGAGACCGGATATAACGATCAGATCCATAAGAAATTGTAGCTAAGTAGTAGAAGTGTAGATTATTTGCTTTTGTGAGTAATGTTAGTTTCTAATCTCATCTTCTGATAGGTTAGAAGTCTATTAATAACTGAAAATAATAGCTAAAGTAACAAGTAAACATTACCTTCCATATAACATGGTTTGCTAATAAGGTAATAGCAATAATTACTCTATTTTTTGTTAAGTAGAGTAGCCAACTCATGCTTTATGAATTGTTTCCCAAACTTGGCACCACAAAGAAGAAAGCAAATTTTTAATCATTTTCCAACTGATTGTCACATCAAAGCCAAAGAAGTTCACCCTTCATGAGAAAAATAACCTATTTGACTTCTGGTAAATGAAAATGAGAAATTGCAGCAGAAAGCATATTCATCTTCAACCTTAAGCTTCCAGCAGCTGTACATGGCTCACGCTCTAAACGCATACCCTAAGCTTGACAGCATATGTCACATTCATGGTACAAATTCTAAGTAATTAACAAAGCATATACAACATCTCTCAACAATGTTCTCACTCCCTCTTCTCTACCTTCTCTTGCATGCTGATCTTTTTCCTGCTTCCGAAAACCGTCTGGTTTCTGCATTTTGTGTCCGTGGCTGGATTTCAACTCAATACGAATCCACCCGTAAGAAACAGTATCAACTACCCCCCACCACCGAAAATTTAGAACTCATTAGAGGGCTCTAAGACAAACTCCAGTTGTTTATCCCTATCACTTAAATACTTGGTTGAGTTGTACTCATCTGCATCGAAGAGCTCCTCCGAATACGTCCTTTGAAGCTTAGACTTTTGACGTTTTGTAACATACTCCAAAATGCTTTCATCACCTTCTAAAATCTGGACAATCTGAGGTAGATTTAAAGCCACATCAGAAGATGCATACTGCTGTCTGTCTGACGATTAAGTCATCACTTAAACACTTGTAAAATCATAAACTTGTTAGGAAAAATACATGCCTGGTTCATTTGTGGTCGATTCATTGAAGACTGATGTACGCATATCGAAGCAGTCAAGGCGAGACACTTCATCTGTTGCAAATCATAGGCATCGCCAAGGCATGGATCGGCTAGCTCTTTGATATTATTCGTAGAGAGTAAAGGTTTGGCCTGAAAAGTATTTTTTCAAACAGATTGAAATTAAACTGTCAACAATATTTCAATATGCTACTTGCTACCTTCAAATGAAACAAGGAAGCTGGGGGCACAGAAGTAAACATACCCACATAACAAGGCTTTTATGTGAGCTATCCAACGCTTGCCTGCCGGTGATGAGCTCTAATAGTAGCACCCCATAAGCATAGACATCAGTTTTTTCATCTACTATGCCATGCATGAAAAACTCAGGAGGAAGGTAGCTGCCATGATTGGGGAATGAAATTATGGCAAAAAAGAGCTAACAAAAAGAAAATTACTTTGGTGAAAGAGAAAAAAAAAAATCTAAATTTCTGGATTTACAGACCCAAATGTGCCTTCAAATTTCGATACGATATGGTGAGTCCAATGATCTGGTAGCCACTTTGCAAGCCCAAAATCTGATATCTGGATTCAATTGGAGTGACCGAGAGTTATTGAAAATTAATAAAGTAATTATATAAATTTTGCTCTGGTGTTTTACCTATTCACAATGCAGCTTTTTTCACTAATCTGTAAACTGACGAAAAAGGTTACCTGAGGCTCAAAATCCTCTGCCAGCAATATATTGGAAGCCTTAATATCTTTGTGGATAATTCTCCTCTGGCACCCCTCATGAAGATACAGAAGGCCCTTAGCAGTCCCTAAAGAAACTTTATATCTGATGCCCCAATCCAGATTCTCTCTAGGTCCTAGAAATATGGGACAACGAAGCAAAAGCAATAAGTTAATTGTAATTGTGAAATGGAGAGAATTTTGGAATTCAAAAGATTCACAGATTGATAAACAAACCATAAAGTATGGATGCTAGGCTCCCATGGGGAGACAAATGAAGAACAAGATGCATCCCTCCTTCAACCCCATAACCAATCAATTTTGCGATGTTGGGATGGTCAACATGAACTATAACTCCAAGCTCAGATAAGAAGTCTGCAGTCATTTCTTCTTGACTACCCCTCGTCAGGCGTTTAATCGCAACAATCTGCCCATCTTCCAATGTCCCCTTGTAAACTTCAGCATAGCCTCCTTCCCCAATCAAATACTCTTCAAAAAGGACAAACAGAAAATGTTATCAGCCTCACATGACAATGACAATCTTACAAAAGAGAACATAATTGTATTGAGTTACCATCAAATCAGCTAAGAAAAAAATGAATTTTACTGAATCTCTACACTCCAATGTAATGTAAGTTCTCTGAAGAGATAAGAGTACAGACCCTGGCTGAAGTTGTTGGTTGCGGCTTGGAGCTCTAATAGTGAGTAATTCTTCCAGGAAGATTTGAAGCGGCAAAAGTCAGCATCGAAAGAAGACCTCAGGGCAGGAGAGTTGAGCTGTGGAATGAAGTCCTCTCTTATTCTCTTGCTTTTCCTTCTGGTGAGTTTCGGCTTTGGGGCACTTTTAGGAGGGAAGGTTGGGAAGGGATTTTGTGATCCCTTTTTCAATATACGAAAGAAACCACGCCAATTTTGGTTTACTCTTGGATCTGATTCCGAAGTAGTGCTGCTTTTTGCATCTGAGTCTGAAGTGCTAGCCTTAGGAGAAGACGTTTCGGATTCTAAGCTTCTCGGGCAGTCATCCTCAAGAACTCCTCTTGGAGAGGGTTCATGTATTTTGAAATCCTCATCCAATTGTAATGACCTCAAGTCTATTATGACAAAAATCCCAACATAATTAGTACCACACCAAGCTCTATATTCCTGCATACTAGCATTGCCTGCTGCCTAGAGAAGAAAAAGAGCATAAAGTTGTTACCTTGACTTGAAAAAGAGTCAGAGAATCCAGCTCTTGATCTTCTTGATCCAAAAGGAGAAGGCGTTGTAGCCTCCACCTCCGCCTCTTGATTTTCTTTGGCAGTGTCGCGAGAACCATTGCTGCCCATACAAGCTTTGTGTCAGCAAATAACAGAAAATATGACAAAACCCAACAGATTTAAGAGCCTTCTAAGAGCAAATTCAGATAAAACCAGGATGGTGAGCAGTACCACTACCGACCATCCAAGTGGGGAAATAGGAAGAAAGGGCCAAATTGTATGGCACGTGCATAAATATCTCAAGATATAGAGAATCAAACAAATGATTTGTGAACAGATTGCAGAAGAACCGTTGAAACATCATCTCATGAGAAACAAAACCAAAACCCGAAAACAAAAATTCGAAAGCGACATTGTAAAACAACAAAACAATAGTGGCAGATAAAAAATTAATAATCTTCTACAGGACCTCCTTAGAATGCAATGTAACAACAAGTAAAATGCAGCCTAGCACACACAGGCATTGTTAAAATTAATTTAGTCCTCTAGCTGGCTGCAGGCTTTATGCATGAATTATTATATATTTCATAGGCAATGGAAATTTAACATGACATGTTGAGAATTTGAAAGATTACTGCTTACTGCTTAGAGATGAAAGCCGCGAAACCAGAAGCGATGAGCTGAAAAGCAGGCACCGAGGTGATTACCATGAAGAAGTTTCAGGTTCAGATTCTGGGGCATCTTCCATGAACTCTCAAAGGGTGCCAAACCAACCAAAGAGAGGCTTCAGAAGCCAAGGGAAATGGCAGACAGAGAGAAGCCAAGAGAGAGAGAGAGAGAGAGAGAGAGGCACATGAAAATAGTGGCTCCCATGATTTTCCTGTATTGCACCTTAAATATTCCTGCATTTTTGGACAATTCAACGAATATTCATGCTCAAAAATCGGCTTTCTTTGTTATGGACACATCATTTGCTTCTTAACCCAGTCCTTTTTTTTTATTATCTCTCGGAAACAAACAAATAACAGCGTGTAAATTTAGCAATTTTAGTATGTTTATGAGATGTTGAAAGGCTTGCAAAGCAAAGCACGTATGGCTATGGAGATTCCCTCAACTCCCACAGTTCAAACGTCTTCTGGGTCTTTGACACGTGGAATTAATTAATTGTGTTAATTATGGATTAGAGCACCATAAAAATAAAACAAAATACTAGTACTACTTAGGTACAATCTTGTTTGATTGTCCATGATAATAAAACTTTGTGATAAATAAAAAAATCAAATAGAAACTAGAATCTTTATATTTATATGAATTTATCACGTTTGTTAATTGTATATTAATAAACGATTATAGACTGGACTCCAACAGATACACTACGTTAATTAGCTAAAGTAGAATGCCAATAGCCTTCCTTGACGTTGTGAGCTTGTGAAAAGCCAATCTTCAGGGAAACTTGTATCCTATATGCGGACCAAAGCACTAATTATGCAAATTTGTTACAGAATCAATTACGTTCCTTGTACCACCTAATTTGTAGGTAATGATAGTTTGCATAATATATTTCATGCCAAGATATGAACACTTGCTTTTAAATTATAGTCTTTAGACACCCAAAGGAAAAATCTTCCCAAGTTACATAGCAGCCCATAAATACAAATCCTTACATAAAGGCAGTTATTATTGGAAGTATATTTCAGCTTCCAGTATATGCTTCTTAGCATCAACTACAAAAAAATTGATCATACTCAACAGAATCATTTGGAATGGAAAGTGGTAAACTAAAGCTGAAATTTCATGCCAACATCGACACATAGATTCAAAATTTATGAGTCAAACAATCCATAATTCAACAAAAAAAATCAAAGTGATGGTTTCAAAATCTTCCTCAAAAAAAGATGATAGTTTCAAAATCTTCCTCTGTCAATAAATCTACCATTGAAAATTTGAACAAGTTGCCCCACTTTTCTGTAACCAGTGTGGAAGACCCGCAATCACTTTGTGCATGTCTTCCACACTTGTTACAAAAAAGTGGAGCAACTTGTTCAAGTTTTCAAATGTAGATTTGTTGACAGATGAAGATTTTGAAACCATCATCTTGTACAAAGCATTGGTAATGAAAGTCATTTCAATTTAAGACAGAAGAAACTACAACACAAATCAAATGAGAAGATTTTTATTTGTTTCCTAATCATACCATCGATTGATTTTTATACATGTAGATCATTTAAATGCAATGATGAAGTTGGTGCATCATAAGTTTTGAGTGCTGCTAAACAAAGTTCCTTCCTACCCACCTTCACAAAACTCTCACAGAAGCCACAAAATAATCATGGTTGTGATGAAATGTTATTAAATTCAAAGTCATGAAGCGAGCCACAGGTCATTGAAAGTGACCAGAGAAATAATAAATTAAGTTAACCCAAGGGAGGGGACATATATATAATTGGCTCAATCAAGTTAGGTCAACTGTTCAACTCCCATGGTGGAAGCAACATGACCAAGACTCCAAAGCAGTTCCATTTCTAAGGTGTGACCGAAACATCTCTGAATAAAAAATCAAATAGAAACTAGAATCTATATATTTATATGAATTCATCACGTTTTGTAGACTGGACCCCAACAGATACACTACGTTAATTAGCTAAAGTAGAATGCCAAAAGCCATCCTTGACGTTGTGAGCTTGTGAAAAGACAATCTTCAGGGAAACAGCAGTTATATTAGGGAGGACAGACACTGAAGCAAGCAAGTAGTATGAACGTGTAATGTTCACATTTTAACATTTTAAATAAGTTTGGTCCCGAAACGCTAAAAGAGGTACCAAGTTTGAATCTCCTCTATCCCATAAATAAATAAATAAAGAGTTTGATGCTGAAGAATGTAAGCCATCTTCACTATAAAATCTTTTTTTTTTGTTTTGTTTTATGTTCATGGACTCTGATGAAAAAATTCATTTTCCAGCTCTCGCAATGTAAGTCATCTTCAGCTATACAGTACCAGGAGTTCAAATAATGGTTTTAGCACAGATTTAATTCACATTTAATTTACAGCAAAAACAGATGGAAGTGGTGAAACTGACGTGTGCAAAGCTTAAATTGTCAAGGGAGTTTAGTGGACATTGCGACTGATTAAGCCTTCGAATATAGCATATAGATCCTTGTTATCTGGGCCAAATATCTCACCAGCCTTCTGCAGAGTCTCCTGAAATTTTGCAAGTTTACAGATAACAAGTAAGTAGCAAACCAAATCATCGACAACGAGGGAAAGAGGGAGGGAGGAAGGAAGGGAACACATACCTCCTTTGTTTGCTTGTGGCCATTTAGTTCCTTAACATTAGCCAGAAATGCACCAAACTGCTCGTAAGACAAACGACTCCTGAGGGCAACAAAGAGAAAAAGAAAAAAAATGGAACAGTGGGAATTTTAGTCCTTAAGATTTGCTAGAACTCATCAATTTGCTCATAATACAAATGATTTCTGATGCCAATAAGAGGGAAAACAAAATAACCAGACGACAAACTTTCTTATTCAACTAGCCGGGAAATTAACTTTTAACTTGGACGCAGGCAATAATCGGATTTTCTATATATGGTTCTTTCCATCAGACCCAGATTCCAAACTCAATAAGTGTCTTTACCTGACTTGGCGGAAAAATTCTTTCCCGTCCACCCGAGTTCTTCCTAAAACAATTCAAGAGAGAATTAAGAACATTAGAAGAATACACATCGAATAACAGAAGAGCAGTTCTCAATAACGGCAGTTTCTACTTTCTAAGTGAAATGTGATTAAACATTTTTTACAAAGGGTTTCTCGAGCTAACCATATTCAGAGCTGTGATGGCTTGAAGGCACAGAAGATCTGTCATCAAACATGCCTCTTGAGGTGGTGAATGACATGGAGTGCCGCTTAGGGGACACAGGTTTCGATGTTCTTGTTGGGGATGTGGATGCAGAATAGACTGGAGGAGAACCAGGAGGAGTGAGCTTAGGTGTGCTAGTTTGGGATGCCAACAGGAGGCCCGGTGATATGCGAGGTCTTTCGGCTGCCATTGCAATGATAAGAAGCAACAAATACAACAATGTTAAAAACTGGCATGCCATGTTGAAGGTTTTACACTGCATTCTCTAGCTTAACAATTCACACTTATGACTATAGAAGCTTCCTCACTATATGGCATACATGGAAGCATTTTCTATGACTAAGATTTGTATTCGAATCATACCTTCAGTGTCACGATCCTCCGAAAATATGCTTCCTGTTTCAGAGTGCTGGCTACGGATTGAAGATGCCCTCGAAGGCGGCAATGTGGCAAATGGGACATCACCTTCTGAAACTACTATCACATTATGATTTTACTTTGTGTTGGCATTTAAGTGAGAAACCAAAACATAGAGCATATGCAGTTGGCCGAAAAGAAAATCAAAACCATATGCTAAAGGGTAAGATAGTAAGATGAGGTCACATTCAACAAGTAACAAACTAAAAAAATTCTACTGTCATTACTTTTAATGAGAAATGTTCGGGAGATTTTTATTCATAATCTCTATTAGCCGTCTTGATTTATAGTCTAACAATATAACATGTCACGCCGTAGTACAAAAATTAATTAATCTACTTATGAAAATTGAAAATTATAAAATAAAATAAGCTTAGCAAACCTCCAACTTCAGCTTGTGGTTTAGAAGATAAGTTCTCTTGGGTTTGTATCTTAGGCTTAGCAACAGCCTCCGAAGCTCCGGTCTGTTCCAATCCAATGTGTGCCACAAATTCAATCCAAGTTATCAAATTAATTAACAACAAAAGTGTAATCCATGTCTCAGAGAATCAGCCTCGCAAAACAAAATTACTCACAGAATTTTCGTCCTCCTCTTCAAGTGATCGCATAAGCGTCTTTCTGAACACCTCCAACTGCGCACATTAGCAACCGAACTAAGCTTAGCCAAAACGACACCGTTTCAGCTTCCCCAACGTGAATTTCAAAATTCAGTTACCTTTGAGACATCTCTGTTCAGCTTCCTCACAGTGTTGGAGAGCAACGCCTTCTCTTTCACCAAGCCCTCCTGCAATTCCAGAACCAAGTCAATCAGTCAACGAATTGATTAAAATTGAACCGGGATGATTCATGGGCCGGGTCGGACCTTCTCCTGCTCGGCGAGGACGAGTTTATCGGCGGTCTCGGAGAGCGAGGCGTCGAGGGACTCAACCTGCGCCTGGAGCTCGGCGATGAGCTGGTCCTTCTCGGCGAGCATGGCGCGCAGAGCGTACGACTCTGATTCCAGGGCAGAGACACGTGTCGAGAGCGCAACGGACGTGATTTTGCGGGCCACATCGAGCTGCTCGAAAGGATCCGACGGCAGTACTTGCAACACTTCCTCGGGAAGATCGAAGTTCGAACCACCCGATTCCTTCGCAAGCATTTCTCACCTTTCTCTCTCTTGCTCTTCCTTGTTTTTTTTTTTTTTTTTACCCTTTTTTTGTATTTAATTTTTTTCAAGTTTTTTGTTTTTTATACTCTACGGCATTATAACCAAAATACAATTTTTTTTCCTCTTTTTATCGTTGGTATATTTTCTGATTGGAAGGAAACATGTGGCTTGTGATTGGATAGGATTTTGATAAAAAACAAAAGACAAACAACAGCAAAATCTGGATAAGACCTAGTGGTTTTGGGCCTAATGGTAAAAACCCATTTTTGAAACAAGTAATGGGCCTTTGTGAGGCAAAGCTAAGCGTCGTCGTTTTATGTGGTGGTGATGGAAGGAAAAGGGAACAGGTGGATGAGAATTGTGATTGATTTACCGGCCACGGCCAACCAAATTCAGATGATTCTTGTGGTCTGGTGCAATTTGGCCATACTTTGTCGGCTTCCTCATATTTGGTCCATCGCCTTGTATAAAGGGGTTGGTGACATTTAAAATATATTGTTAGACTTAGATATGTGATTGTGATTGATTTACCGGCCACGGCCAACCAAATTCAGATGATTCTTGTGGTCTGGTGCAATTTGGCCATACTTTGTCGGCTTCCTCATATTTGGTCCATCGCCTTGTATAAAGGGGTTGGTGACATTTAAAATATATTGTTAGATATGTTGAGTTACTCGAGTATAAATGCTCTTGTTCGCAAGGTGATAAAACAACGACTCGCCATTAATTATAGAATCATAAAAGTGTTAATCGGGTAAGATCAAGACAGAGTACAATTCCACCCTTAAGAAAGGGTTTGTTATATCTAATATATTGAACAATTTTCCAATTTATTGAGTTTAACGTTGTTATATTCGTTCAACACAAGACATTATAGTTAGTTCAGTTTAATTGATCATTTAATGTCTAGTATCAAACCCTCAAACAAGGACAAAAGGACTGCGAATCCTTGAAAATCAAAGAAAAAAACAAAGAAACGATTGGTGCTTTAATAGGAAGATAGAAAGCAGACAATGGCCAGCCACTTTTTCTTCTTTTTTGGTATGAACCACGGGGTGGTTCTGGATGGGCCCCAATTATGGGTGACACTTTTAAGCCTTAATCACAACTCAGACTAATCCCCGCTCACACCGGGTCGGCCCGTAAGGGATAAAGTGTTGGCCAAAGTGGTGACTCCATACGAGAGCAGGAATCGAACCTCTGATCTCTCTTAAGGAATGAGAGTGCCGAACCACTCACACTAACCACCTTGGTTTGGCTAGCCATTTTTGACTGCAACGTGTTCCTTCCTACCGACCTTCACAAGACTCTCACAGAAGCCACAAAATAATCATGGTTGTGACGAAATGTTATAAAATTCAAAGTCATGAAGCGAGTCACAGGTCACTACTGAAAGTGACCAGAGAAGAGAAATAATAAATTGAGTTAACCCAAGGGAGGGGACATGCATATAATTGGCTCAATCAAGTTAGGTCAACTGTTCAACTCCCATGGTGGAAGCAAGACCAAGACTCAAAAGCAGTTCCATTTCTAAGGTGTGACCAAAACATCTCTGAATGAAAAGCAATGAATATCATTTTCATTTTCATTTTCATTTTGGGAAGATGTTTCCACTACAATTTCCCAAATGGTATGCTATTACTAAAATAAAAATTATGGTCTTTATTATAGTTTTATTTGAATAACAAACGGTGTAAAATTATTTGAGAGCTTTGCTTTGAGCAAATTAATTTATAATCAAATATATTGATACAAAAGTTTTGTTTAATATATTTATACAGTACTCACTCATGAGTTAAACTTCTCTAGCTCCAAAAGTGAGATACATTGTTACGCCATCTTGATCTAAAATGTGCTCCCTAACCTGAAAATAACCACTAACAATATCCACACAAGCTTTAAGTTTTTCAACGAGCACGGCCTAATTTGCAAAGCAATGCAGGTTCATACCTTAGCAGAAATGTGTTGAGTCTCCCCATTAAAAAGCATAAGTAATTGATAAATATTTATCAGATTAAATAACATGTATGTGTGTAATACATCTTTATCAAAACCTATTCGAATGCATTCTAATGTTTCCAAAACATAAATACCCATTATGTATGTTTGAATTCTACAATCTACACAACTATTAATATGTAGAAAAGAAAATGTCACATAATTGTCTGGTACAAATCCATTTCGTTTTCAGTAAATATCTATTTAGTTTCCTCCAACATCTTATATAAGTAATTAGTATGTGCTAAATATTTTCAAATGCTTAAAACTTCTTATGCATGTATGGTTCATTATCATTGTAAAACAGACAGGTTCATTCCAAGTTAAAGCTAAAAGAAACGAGATTTGTGCTCATAACACAGCATGAAAAATAGCTGTTTATCTCATACATATTCAAATATTCCTATGTCATTTCTTTGGAATGAGCCCGCCACCCTTCTTTTGTTTGGTTACATAAGAAGTTTTAACACATCTTATGTGCGGGGTCATACATAATTTCTCCATGATGTTCAACTATTTGTTTAATCTTTAATACCTAATACCTACTATGATTATGTGCAACAGATTTTCTAATTTGAAGATTAGGTGTTTTAATTTTATTGGCTTCTATGTTCCTTGGTATTTTTCCTACTAATTGCTAATTCGTGTTTCATGGTGCCCTATGTGGATAAAACTGTCCTTGACAACAAAATCTGGTGAGACTTCTCTCGACATTCAGAATGATGACTATACATAAGCTATACATATTGATGTTAGTCCATGGGGAAGCCAATTAGGCCCCGTTTGGTTCATGGGAAAGGTGACTTGGGGATGGGAAATCAATTGTTTTCCTATGTTTGGAAAGTCCTGCATGGAAATCATTGCCTTGCACATGGGAAAGTAGGGGGGAAAGTGAAACCCTTTTCCCCCCCTTGGGTTTTGTGTTTCTCCTCATGGGAAAGTTTGAGAAAATGAGCCAACATTAAATACACATTTTTCATGACCATAATGTCCCCATTAACAATTTAGAATTACAATATAGCATTAAATGCATTCTTTTTTTATTTGATTTCTTATAGGTATAATTGAAAAATTAAACAAGCTTTGTTTTACATTTCTATCCAAACCAAACATGTGAAAGGAAATAAAGTGGTATTTCTTGATTACTTTACCAGGATTACCAAACATGGAAAAGGAATCCTTATTTCTCATCCCTTGGGAAATGACATGGGAGGTGATTACCCCTCAAATCCATTCCGTGAACCAAACGGAGGCTACAAATAATGATTTAGCATATGTTTCATCCATGGTGATCATTGATCCTGAATGTAAAATACTATGAATTTATCCGTATTTCATTAACCATTCAAATAATTTAACCTGTTAGAATATGACACGTCAAATCTATTTAAAATTATTTTATCTTTATAAAGCAATATTGGAGAAGGGAGAGATTCGAACACTGAACCTTGTGTGCATATAGGTAAGTGTTCTTGACCAATTAAGCTACAAACCCCTTACATAAAGAAACTTTAATTTGCACTCCCATGGAGAAGCAACATGACCAAGACATCCAAAGCAGTTCCATCTCTAAACTGAATGAAAGCAATGAACACATGGACGTGTAAAATCTTCCATGATTCTTCAGGTAACCTTTAGCTTTATGAAACAAAACAAAACAAAAAACTTTAGCTCTAGTTTATGTATGATTTTCATTTTTCGAAATTACTAAAATGAAAAGATTATAGTTTTATTTCAATAACAATCAGTCTAAAATAATAATTTTATTTGAAAGAATATATATAAATAAATAAAAAGAGTATGCATATTGGGAGAAATTTTTAAATGTTCCAGGTACACCACGTGTTTGGTGTACCATCCAATAAACATAGAACATGTGGAATTATTATCCAACTTACTGCATTTCTTCTTATGACATGTGGCGGATTGCATTGGACATATTCCATATGTCTTCCGTCTATTGGATGGTACAACAATCACGTGGTGTACCGGAAACACTCAAAAATTACTCGCATATTGGAGACATTGGACAAGATGGCATGATTGCTCCCTTACAATTCACTTCTTTATGAAAAGAATATTTAAATTTTGACCCCACAATTAAAAGCTTCCCTTCTTTTTCTTTTTCCTCTTCTTTTCTTTTAGTGGATAATTATTATACCAGAAAAATCAATTGCTCAAACACAGCAATTGGCAGGGGAAAAAGAAAAAGGCACAAAAAGCAAACAGTAATTAAAGTCATGGATAAAAGCTTGATGGGATGGTAAAGTTTATGAGATATTATTGCAGGTAGGAGGAGAGATAATGGTGTATTTTGTTGGCAGGCACTGAAACTAAGAATCATTCAAATCTCACCTCAAGATTTCCTAATTATTCTTTATTATCTTAACACAGGGTTTTATACTAATTAAACATAAGCTGATTACATGTCTCATTTGGAGTAGAATCCTTGACTGAATCAATACATAATAATATTATAAAATAAAATAAAAAATATTTTTACATTTTTTTATTATAAAGAAAACAAAATCTGATGCAGATTCTTTAATGATTTATCACTTTAAAAAAGAAAGAGTGCCTTTTTTTAAGTTGCTGATTAAAATAGATAAATGCCATGTTAGTGGGGTTTAAAATAATCATGGGGGTGGCAAAGGGAATTGTTGTTTACAATGTTCTAGAATAAATAAATAATAAAAAAACAAATAATTATCATAATACCATGAACAATGGCATGTGGAGCATTCTAATTATTATTCAGTACGGAGTACAAACTCTGATTTTTGAGCATTTGCTTTGCAAAATTCCTTAATTTTTTTATTGTATTTGGGGTGGGGGGACAATTTTGATTCTTTATCAGTCTCTCAACTACCAAAATGTGAGGAGTTTTTAGTTAAGGAAATATAATTTAATTAATTTCTCCATGACACAATTAGAACTAAAATAACTCTACAAAATGTAGCAAAAACAAATGTTGTTTTCTTCAAGGATTATGCACTATATAAGTTTAGGGTGCTGCAATTTGCACCACATTTATTGACCATCTCTCTAACACAGATAGTCCCGCGTATATTGGTGGAGTCCACTTGTATTAGAGAGATGGTCAATAAAAGTGGTACAAATAATTATTTATAAGTTTATTGAGATAATTTAAAACACCTTCAATCAACCTCGTGATTTACACCTTAATTGATTAGTGAGAGAAGGTTGCTAGCATTCCCCTTTAATGTATTCTCACAAGTTAACTTATGACATAAGGAGCATGGTTGGAAAATTAAGAGGTTCGTTAAAGCAATTAAGGTGTAAATCACAAGGTTGATGAAAAGGGATTATACAAGGGACAAAGATACGTTTTGCTCTCTATGCTTAAAACAAAATTCGAAGGATCAAAATCTCAAGAGATTCAAGGTCACATTTCACATCTTAATCATATATGGTTAATATTCTAACAATGTTGTAATACTAGATGAGGTGATATATATATATTTATAAATAGTTTACTTTTATTATGTCACCATTCTTCCTATTCATGTTTATCATCAATAATTATTTATTATTTTGTGTTTCTCTATCATCTTTGCTTATTTTGTAAGGTTATTCAACTTGGAAGCTTCGCTTAGTCATGTTCATTGTCATCTTAGTTGAACCAAAATTTGGGACCAACAACGATGTTATAACTTATATTTTCATATAAAACAATAGGTGTTTCTAAAACCACATTCCTTTTGCTTTTCCTTTCCATAATACACCCTTGAATTATATTAAAAAATCAAAAGTTTCCGTCTACAACTTTTTTTGGTTGCCAAAGTTAGAAATGAATGGGGGTTCTTTGCGCACACACACACGAAGTAAAGGAGTTATAAAAATTCGAAGAACATAAAATTACTAATTTACAATTCGACGCCCTTTTTCATTATGCTAAATACCACAAGGAAAATGCATGTGCGGGATATAATTTTGGTCAACAAAAGCTAACATGCCTCTTCAATCTTCAATTTTCATTACACCTTCCTTCCTAGCTCATGCCTGGAAAACAAGAAAGAAATGATAATCAAAGTCTTTGAATGATTACACCTTTAAAAAAAAAATATCATCCAACTAACCCAAACTCAAATAAAATACGTAACTAATCACAAGACCTAAACAATTTTATAAACAAAATTAACGAATAATAACAATAATAATGCCAAACATCCCCAAGCGTCCAAAGCAAGACATTTTTAAAATCAGACATTAACATTTCGCTTTTATGACACTCACAAGGCCACCACAGAAAAAAATATCGGTCCACCCACCTTAAACCATGACGCCGTTACGGATAACGGAAACCAGACAAGGGAACCTAACGACTCTGTTAAAACAGACATCGGCTGGGTCCCACTTAGGGGTGGGCCGAAAGACCCAGTCAGCTTTTCAGCCGAATGGCTTTGAAAGTTGAAAACGTGGCGGCCTCACGCGTCGAGTAGGGAAGGTGGGTAGGACCTTTCGCTCGCTCGTTATCTTCGTCTTTGCTTGTATATAAACAACCCCTCCATTTCTCACAACACCCACGAAACACAAGAAACGGATTTGGAGAGAGGAAATTTCCAACAGAGCGGAAAACACAAAAAAATACAACCTCCTTCTTCTCCCCCCATGTGAGGTAGAAGAAGAGGCCAAAAAGAAAAAAAACAAAAAAAAATACTAGCGTTTTTCTCTTTCGTTTTTTCAATTTTTAGGGGATTTTGATTTTTAGTTATTATGGGGACTGAGATATTGAGGCCTCAGGATTGTCTGATCGAACGGATCAGAGTCCCTCCGGCGTCGTTTGTGCGCCGGAAGAGTTACTATGGAAACCCCGTACCTAACCAGAATTACGTTTCTAACCCTAGACCTAGAAAACCGGTGGTGCGCTCTGACCCGAGGAGGATCCACGTGCAGCCGGCGGTGGTCTCCAAGAGATCCAGCTCCGAAGACCTTCGCGGCTTCAAGATGGAGAAAGTCACGATCTTGAGGCGCGGTGAGTCGCTGGATTCGAAGACGAAAGGAAATAACGGTGGATTGGTCGTGACAGGGACCGAGAGGTTGGGACCCGACCCAGAAATGGTGCCGAAGCAGGTGCGGATCGTGGATCTGAGGCCTCCGGTGGAGGGAAAGACCGATATGTACGCCGGATCGGCGTTCGCGGTGTCGCCGGAGCCGAGTGCGCTCCCGCTGCCGTCGTTTTCGAAGAAGAAGCAGGTATCGAAGGTCGTCGATGGTGACTTGGCAACTCGAGACCTGAGGCGGTTGCTCCGGTTGGATTGAGAAAGAGAAGATCCGGATCTGAGGACCCGATCCGAGGACCCGAATAAGGCCCCGACTGGATCCGGATCCGAAAACGGTTCTGTCCTTTGTCTTCCCAGTTTTCGAGGTAGGATCTGTCCGTGATTTTTTTAAACGGCGGTGGATCTTGAAATCTGGAAAAAGACGGGGGCGAATTAGTAATTTACCTAAAGTTTAGCACTTGCTTGGTGTAGCTAATCTTATCAGCTTGTTATGGGAAATATTGTGGGGTTATTAATGAAGAATTATGGGGTATATCGGTAAATTTAAAAGTTAGGAAGGGGTGGAAAAGGGGAGATGGAAGAAGAAAAGAAGTGGGAAATGGGGGTTTGATTTTGTTATATATTTGGGAATTGGGATGGTTTGGTTATTTAGTGAGTTTGATGTGATTTGTGGGTTGGGCTGTAAAATGTTGAATGTTTTTCTGCTGTGTTGGGAATTTGTTCAGTGGGGTTTATGTATAATGTATTGTAAAGAAAGATAAAATTTGGGCAGAAGAAGAATTCTTAATTTTAAACTTGTGTTTTTCTAATTTTCTGTTTTTTTTTGGCTCTGCAAGTACTTTGAGTTCCTCTCGAAACAGATCAGAAACCCAAAATCCCAAACATAAAGATCATATTTTAAAGAAGACAAGGGAGATCATTAGAGCAAAGTCACAGATTTCCATTGAGTAGGGACTTTTTTTCTTGGGTTTTTTATAGTCTAAGTTACTCTAAATTAATCCAATTTACGAAGAGAGAACCGAACTTGAACTTGGGTCTTAGGGATGGACTCGGACTCGGACTCACTGCTCTGGTCGATTGGTCTAATCCACATCTGCCGTGCAATGGACTCTTGAATAAAATAGATTGAATTGTATAAGCAAGCATCCTCTCTTGTTTTTGAAGTGTACGTATGTGAAAAGAAGGAAACTTGGCGGCCATGCGAGCCACATCTCCCAAATATCAGAATCTGAAGTCAAAGTCCACGTCCATTGCCCAGGCAAACTTTTCCAGGAGGGATTTGTTGAATATCTGTGCCAATAGAAAATGGTCAAGCATAGAGCATACACCAGCTCATACAAACCAAACCAATTAGAAAATCTTTTAACGAAACCCTACCTTCTCAAGTGGAACTTCATGTCGCTTGCACCATGCAACAGTGATTCTGGGGTCAAGATAGTTGGTTTTGGACGTTCCTAATGCCACTGTTTTCAGATCCTCTTTGGTTCTCATATCCGCTTCCATTTTTTCCATTTTTTCTGTCGTTTTAGCTATCTTCTTCTCCAACCTGTGTCAATCAAAAAATCACCATGAAAGGCCATATCCAGACATGATGAGAAGTAAGCAGACAAATGAAGTAAACTTACGCTTCCGGGGTCAAGTTTCTCTTTCGCTTCCCATCGGCATCTTCCAGAGGAGGCTTTCCCTTTCTGGCCCTGTCCAAATCTGTTTTCAGCTCTTTAAGGGTGCCCTACAACCCCGAAAAGAGAATGAGTTCCAGAGCAAGAAATAGGCATGCATTTCAAATACCATGAGTTTATAAACCTACTCAGATTAGGTGATTACCTGAAGGCCACCAATCTTCTCCATTAACTTAGACATCTGTGCACCATGAGACTTTGAGACAGTACGTTGATGATTACAAATGATGGCAACCTGCAACGAATGCCGAAAATCGTAGATTGCACTGAGTCAAAAGGAGCATTACTATAAACTTAGTACAAATTCGCAAGGGATTGACTGCTATACCTCTTTGTTTGCGTGCTGATAAACAACAAGTTTTTCCGAAACATCTCCTTCTTTGGTTTCCTTGTTCAACTGCCGTCAGGCCAAGAAAAAAAAATAAGGAAAAAAAATCATCATAAAAGGAAATTGAAACAGGGAGAGGGGCAGGAGATAACTTACTATGTTATCCAATGTGATCGATGCATTGTAGGTACGGAAAACTTTGGCTGTAAGGCCAGGCATCAGTTCTTTCAGATGAGCATTCAATTTACTGGTATCCAACTTGTCAAACAGATCATCATTGCCACGCTTCCCTGAAGCGAATAGAAAAAAGAACAAAGTCGAACACATTCATAGGCTTCAATTAACAGAAAAAGAAGGAAGGAAATAGGCTGAAATTATAAAGCCACCAACTCACCAGCCTGGAACTCTATGATTGCTTTGTAAACAGGAACCTCAACTTCAACAGTATTTTCATATCTGATTGAATCTTTACCAAGGAAGTTGAACTGAGATTATAAACAACAGAGTTGACTGGTTATTTACTGGTGATAAATACATTGGCAGACTACCTGCAATGACTTTAAACATTTTCTGTAACAGCAGCAAGGCATTACCTCCAAGGAGTTAGGGGCGATTGCTTTTACATTCTCTACTTTTAAAGTGCAGCAACCAACAGTATCAGCTTCATCATCCTCCTGCAGATCAATAAAAAACAATCATAAACAGTCCTGTCCACTTCTTTGTGGACAAAGGGTTTGAAACTTTGAATTGCATGCTTGCTCTACCTTCTCATTGCCCGCCCTGAGAGCAAGTTTATCGATGAGATATGTAGCAACTGCTATCTGCCGCTTTGCGCCGTCTTTGTTAATAAAATCCCTAGTGTATGCAGCTCTGATGTTTCCTATGTAGTCCTGCACTCAAAATAGCAGGGTTTTCATCAATATGATGGCAAGCATCTTCTATGTTATCCGAAAAAACTACTATCTTCAAAAGTTAAGGGCATGTTCCCATCTAAAACACCTTTAGCATCCTTGCTTTCTCATATTTCTCCTTGTCACTTTGCCCCTTCAAGGAACTACTAGGTGACAGAAACACGTATTTGAATAACTTTTGGTTGATTGGATCGTTCCAGAAGGCTAACCATGTAACCATATTGTCATGCCTTACTTCTTTCCAGCTGCATAGATCAAATGCATTGATTTAAACTCCAAATCAGTTAATGAAAAGCAAAAACTATCATAACTTTGGAAGTAAATGAGTTCTGTTGTTTTAACAAAACCTTTCACCAGGGATGGGACATTCTGGAATCGGGGCATCCTTTCCTATATTGATCGTAACATCGCTTGGATGAATCCGCCTTTTTAGCTTTCCCAACTGATACCATATATAACAAGAATTAACGGCAGCATATGCAAAGAAAACTCAGAATCAGTGTAAACACTTCAACAGATAGCCACCACCTATCAAACTATCTCATCATCGACAAAACTGAAATCTGTATCACAGAGAGAAAAAAAAAAGTTATCAAACAACCTTTGGATGCTCCCCACGGCCTCGGAATAATCCAGGTGGTTCAACTCTGAAGTTTCCGACCTGTATTAAGATTGAAACCAGAAATCACTAGGCAAACTACTCATTTAATGATAAAATGCAAAGAACAGAGCTAAGCTACTATTATTCTACAACATATTAATTGACATAGCAGATCTGCCATATCCACAATCAGGAAAGCACCATAAGTTTTGTAGATATATTGCAGATGGGCTAACTAGATTGCAGACTAGGTTACAGGGGAAAAAGCAATCAAAAAGCTAGAGATAACCTTCTCTTTTACACCATCAACAATAGCCCACATATACTTCTCCTCTTGTTTCAGTTTCTCTTCCTGCAAGGCCTTCTTGTCCTGCATCAACACATACTCCTTAAGAATTTTGCAACAACAAGGGGGTATAAGGAAAATCAATGAATTCGAGTTAGCTACCAACTTACTTCCTTAGTCAGCTGTTTCTTTTTCTCCTTTTCATTCTGATACCAGTCATATATTGGGGTAAAATCACAAGCATCCAGTTTCTGAATTACATGCCTCTTCCCAAGCAACTTTTGCCAATCATTCCAGAAATTGTTTCTGAATGTTTTTTTCTGCACATATTCTGTGTCCTTCATCACGGCATACATCGTCGCAACCTGCAGTTATAAACTTAAATCATCAAGAAATTAGAACATACAACAAAGCAATAAATATATAGATCATTGAGAGAGTGAGACAGGGACCTCCTCTTGTTCAGGAGTCAAGTTGACTGGCTTCCCATTGTAAAGCATCTTTACATCATGAGGCTTGTATGGAGGTGGGAAAATGACACCATTGTGAACCAAAGTAGTCCATTTTTCCTGCCCATCATTAGAGCTTGGTGCCATGTTTGTCGATTTAGAGTACTTCGAAAACTCGGAAGCTTTTTTGCCCTTCTTGATAATTTTCTTGATTGAAGATGAACCCACTTTTGTTACCTTTTTTTGCTTTGTCAATGCCACAGATGATTTATTATCTGACCTGACTTTCTTAGCTCGATCGGCAATTGTAATGAAGTCATCATCCTCCTCTTCCTTTGCTTCTTTTTTGGCTGACACCTGCTTGTTCTTTGCAGAAGTAGAAGAATCCGAAACTTTTGGCCTTTTAACTGAAGACTGCTCAGAGACATTGGCCTCATCTAGAGGCCTCTTACCAGAGACCAGAGAAGAAGTTTTCTTCTGAGGTTTCGGCTTCAGTCGAAGCCTTGATGATAAAGGTTTGTCATCCTCTTCCGAATCAATAGAATTCTTACTTTCTTCTTCAACAGTGGCAAGCTTAATCTGTTCTGATAGCTGTTCTGACTGACCCTCTAATGAAGCTGATGCTTTCGAATTGGATACTGGTGAGGTCCTGGCAGATGAAGTTGAAGCTTCTGGGCTTGATAATGGAGATTTTACTGGTGATAATTTGGTTGATGGAACCATCTTACCCTTTTGCAACACTTGAGTTTGGACCTTGACCTTGTGTATTTAGATGCATGCAATCCTTGTTGTCTTCTCAATAAGTTTTCCTTATAATTTGATATATATATAGAAAGAGAGAGCTGCGTAGATAATGAGATCAGATAAATGTTGCACAGAATGTAACCCTAAATTTCCAAACACCATAATCGTAAGAGAATCAGAGAGGATATCATAAGCAGATAATGGCATGCACAGAGATCAAACCCTAATGGGGCAAAATCAAAAGAAAAGAGTCTCTTAAGGAAGGCGTACTTGTTCGTCAAGGAATAAATTGAACTTGCAGCTTCTGATCTCTGAAGTGTAGCGCAAATATGAAAGTAGGGTGTGAATATTGGACAAGGATAAAAGACAGCATTGAACAATTTATCAAATTAAAACCGTTACTTAAAACACACATACAACAACAGGAAACATAAATTACACGTTCTCCTACTTTGTCCAAAAAAAAGGGGAAAAAAATATGGTTTCCTATTTTTAAGGGAGACCCATGAGTACGTTTAAAAAACAAAAAAAAAAAGGTAAAGTAGGAAACTCAAATAGAAATTGATCAATATATGTAATTATGGAAAATATTCGGAAGGAAAAGAATGAAAACACCTTAAAGTCGCAAAACTCCAAAACCCTAGCAATTGCTCCCCACAATGTCACGTTCAAAAGCAAAAAAGAAGTCCAAAAATTGATGTGAAAAAGAACTTAAATACCTCCTCAAACCCAGCTGCCCAATCATAAGGAAACTAAGTTAAAATAAAATAATATTAGGATATAAAGTCCAAATTGGATTAGGAGAATCTGCCCACAATCTGTCCAGCCACATTTCAAAAAAAAAAAAAAGGTAAAGTAGGAAACTCAAATAGAAATTGATCAATATATGTAATTATGGAAAATATTCAGAAGGAAAAGAATGAAAACACCTGAAGGTCGCAAAACTCCAAAACCCTAGCAATTGCTCCCCACAATGTCACGTTCAAAAGCCAAAAAGAAGTCCAAAAATTGATGTGAAAAAGAACTTAAATACCTCCTAAAACCCAGCTGCCCAATCATAAGGAAACTAAGTTAAAATAAAATAATACTAGGATATAAAGTCCAAATTGGATTAGGAGAATCTGCCCACAATCTGTCCAGCCACGTTTCGGCCTCAAATCTCCTCCAAATCCGGCCCAAGATAGCTTGTTTTAAAGATAAAAACGTTCTGAACACTTCTCCAGAAGGCCACGAACCCATCTGAGGTCATTTTGGGCTCCAAAAACGCAATAAACGCCCAAAACGTCACTATTCTAGCACTGCACACTGCTCCTTTATTTATTTCCAGAAAATAACCGCTTGGTAGAAAAATATGAAATTTTGATACGATCAAGCTAAGTGACTCACGAACGTCCTCCAACTGGAATTACTCCAAAATTCGTCCATTTGATTATATTTGGCTCCAGAGGAAGTCAAAAGTCCTATATTGGAAATATAATTCAAAGTATCAAAATTCTTCCAAAATATTAACCAAAATATACTAAGAATGGGGTTAAATATATAATATAAAATATACCCATCAAAATACCCCCAAACTTAGCTTTTTGCTTGTCTTCAAGCAAAACAAATCTAGAAAATAAAAACAAAACTAACGAACTAAAAACTTTAAATAAAACCTAGCTAAATAAAATTTCCATTCAAGTTGCAATCCATAGAAAATGTTAAAAACCAAAACGTCTTTTCAAAAGTTCCAACCAATCCCACTATAGAGTCTAAGTCATTTAGAGTCAATTAGAAAAGAATTCATAAACTTCCTTCGGTGTAAAGTGAACCATCATAATTAAGGAGACTCGACTAAAACCCTTACCTCTCATCCCTTTTATTCATACGTCACATACTTATAGAATCATTCTCTTTTTTGTTTTTGTTTTTGTTTTTTTTAGTAACAGTAGTGGTCATGCAATGTCGGTTCCCTTAAGCTTTCAATTCAACCCGTGTAGCGAGTTTTAGGTCAATGTCTCCCAAACCACTAGGGCTCTAGGGCACTAGGTGTAGAACACCCCTAAGGACTTATTAACTCGAGCTAAAAAGAGCTACGAAACCAACTAACCACCCTGCCCCATGCCAAAACTCTACTGTTACTATCTTTATTTTATATAGAACAAAAATTAAAACACACTTAGACAAAAAGTAAGTATTTCAATCTCACTCCCCACAAACCATGTTGGTGTGATGTGCAAATTTCAAAGTATAATTCATGAATTAGTGTCTAAGCAACGATAAATAAAAAAGACTCTACTGTGGGATTAATCTTCACCATGTCCATTTGTTCTAACGTTTAAAATAATCTATGGATATTAACTTAAAAACGAAAATTTTAAACAAGACTCAAAAATTAAGAATCTAAAATTTACTTTCCCACCCCCAAACTTAAATCACACATTGTCTTCAAGGTGTGGAAAATAAACAGAAGAAACACGAACAGGAACAAAAACGACTAAATCCTAGAAAATGGAGAACAAATATCAAAGATAAAGAAAATATCCTAAGAAAATCAATTAGGAAAGAAAAAGAGAAAAACAATAAAATAAAAGAAAAGAAAAAGAAACAAAAAACTAACACACTAGAGATGCAAGGGGGAAACTGGACACTTCTGGGATTCGAAAGAGGGACCTAGGCTATGAACCAGAAGGCCACGAACCCATCTGAGGTCATCTTGGGCTACAAAAACGCAATAAAAGCCCAAAATGTCAGTATTCCAGCACCGCGCACTGCTCCTTTATTTTATTGCCAGAAAATAATCGCTTGGTAGAAAATTATGAAATTTTGATAAGATCAAGCTAAGTGACTCACGAATGTCCTCCAACTGGAATTACTCCAAAATTCGTCCATTTGATTATGTTTTGCTCCAGAGGAAGTCGAAAGTCCTATATTGGAAATATAATTCAAATTATCAAAATTCTTCCAAAATATTAACCAAAATATACTAAGAATGGGGTTAAATATATAATATAAAATCACAGGGCCCAAGTCCAGGGAAGTGCTTCCAACGGGCCAAGCTTGCTAGGGCAAGCTGTGGGACTCACGCAACCGGGCCAGCCCATAGGCCAAACCAGCTTGACCTTTAGCTTGGGTTTGCTGACGTCAGCAACAAAAAAAATCTAAAAAAATATTAAAAATTTCAAAATTTTTTTAAAAAAAAATACTTAGTCATATTCTTCCCTTCCCACACCAAAACTCTATACAAATTCCTCTCCTCGTATTTCATGTGAATAGTGGTTGCCATGGCAATGGGTGAAAACACCACAACCTTTTGCAATGGCCGATACTATTCATGTGAATAGTAACAACCATTGCCTTGCCTTTTGCCATGGCAAATGGGTGGAAGTGCTCTAAGGTGCCACGAGAGCTAGACCAGCTGAAAAATAAAGGTGAAAGACAATAATAGTAACTAACTGACAAAAATTAGAGCAAGCTAGGATCGGGCCATAAAGCCTAGGCAACGGTTTTTAGGTTGGGCCTATGTTTACAAACCTACTTGTCAAATAAAAATTCTATTATTTTAAATTCATCTACAATATAAGCCAAAGAGTCACAAATGGTCCGTGCGATTTGAGGGAATTGTAACTTTAGGTATTGCGGTTTGAATTTTGTTGATTTTACTCATGTAGTTTACTTTCATTACCGGTTTAAGTCAAATATTCCATTTCCGCCAATTTTTATAACTTGGGTGACTTGTAGCCCGTGCAACCAACTCCCGCATCATGCATCAACTGATCTAACATGTGAATTTTCAATGTGCAACCACGCATTAAGCTCATCACATGAATGTCATATTAGAATTAGAGCACGCAACCCCCAAAATTAATTGACCATCAATAAAAAGGGCTCAATATATTGTTATGTAAGGCTTAGAATTCTAGATATGAGAT